TCACACCACTGCACTCCAGTCTAGGCAACAAAGCGAGACTTCACCTCAAAAAAAAAAAAAAAAAAAAAAAAAACCTAAGATGTAGTCTCTTCCTTTTGGAATTTTGGGGTTATGGAAGAGACAAAGATAAACGTGAGTTAATGTTTATCAAGCACTTATAATAGTCCTCCCACAAAGGAAATGCTGTGAAAGTGCTTGATAAGGGATATGAAAAATACCTGCTTATAAAATGTGGAGCACTGCCCTGTGACCAGTACTAAACCCATGACAGACTGTAATTGACGCAGGAGAAGGGCTAGAAGGCAGTGGAAGCTGGAATAATCGGGAAAGGCTTCATGTGGGACACCTGGGCCTTGGAAGAATAACCTTTTGTTCTTTGGTTACCAAAAGGCTTTTTAAAAAGTTCTTAGGCTGGGTGCAGTGGGTCATGCCTGTAATCCCAGCACATTGAGAGGCTGAGGCAGGAGGATTGAATGAGCTCAGGTGTTGAAGACCAACGTGGGCACATAGCAAACACTTGTCTTTATGAGGAATATAAAAAATTAGCCAGGTGTCGTGGCGTGCACCTGTAGTCCCAGCTGCTTGTGAGGCTGAGGTGGGAGGATTGCTTGAACCTGGGAGGTCGAGGCTACAGTGAGCTAAGATTGTACCACTGCACTCCAGCCTGGTCAATAGAGTGAGACCCTGTCTCAAAAAACACACAAAAAACAAACAAAAAAAACAAGAAACAAATAAAAAGTCCTTGAAGGAATTTAAGTGCCCACCAGCCTCCTATTGGCGGTTAGAGGTGAGAATGTTCCCATAATAATCAGGTGACTTCTGGGTTTCCCGTGTAGCAAGTGGACCTATTTCTTATGGCATGGCATAAGGACACCTTCGGGTTTTTTTTTTACTTTGTTTTATTATTGTTATTTTCAGATGGAGTCTCACTCTGTCACCCAGGTTGGAGTGCAGTGGCACAATCTTGGCTCACTGCAACCTCTGTCTCCTGGGTTCAAGCGACTCTTCTGCTTCAGACTCCTGAGTAGCTGGGATTACAGGCTCACGCCACCATGCCCAGCTAATTTTGTATTTTTAGCGGAGACGGGATTTTACCATGTTGGCCAGGCTGGTCTTGAACTTCTGACTTCAAATGATCTGCCCGCCATAGCCTCCCAAAGTGCTGGGATTATAGGCATGAGCCACCATGCCTGGCTATTGTTTCATTTTAATTTTTAAAATTTATTTTTTGAGACAGTCTTGATCTGTTGCCAGGCTAGAGTGCAGTGGTGTGATCATAGCTCACTGCAGCTGCAAACTCCTGGGCTCAAGTGATCCTCCCTAGTACCTGGGACCACAGGTGTGCACCAGTATACCTGGCTGATTTTTTAAAGTTTTTTATAGAGACAGTCTTGCTATCACGTTCAGGCTGGTCGTGAATTCCCGGCCTCAAGTAATCCACCTGCCTCAGCCTTCTAAAGTTAAAGTGCTGGGACTATAGATGTGAACCACTGTGCCTGGCAATACGTTGGTTTTAATTTAAGCTTCATCACTTGCTTTTCTTAACTCTGAAACCCTCTGACCTCTGTTTGTTCATATGTAAAAGGGGGACAACTGCATTTCTTTGGTCATGTTCATGGGAGAAGAGTAAATTTTAAGTGAAATATGTGTAAAAAATGTTTGAAAATGGCTAGACGGGTGTGCAGAAATGGTGGGGATAATTCACCCAGCCCAAGTTTTTCACCTCTGATCTGCCCGAGGTCTGGTTTGGCATCTCCAGGCCATGACTGGAAAGCGGCCACTTCCTTCGCTGCTTTGTAGCTCTGAGCTGAGCAGGCCTCATGGTCAGGGTCAGGACTGCTCTTGTTCCTCAGATCCCACAAAGGCAGGTTCCTGGGCTGATAGATGATTCCTGTGTAGGTTTGATTTCAGGGTTTATTTGTATGCCAGAGAATAACAAATATGTGGTTCTTTATTAAAAAACGATTTCTCTTTCATAGGCAGGGAAGCCCACGAGGAGATAAACATCACCTTCACCCTGCCTACAGCGTGGAGCTCAGACGACTGCGCCCTCCACGGTCACTGTGAGCAGGTGGTGTTCACAGCCTGCATGACCCTCACGGCCAGCCCCGGGGTGTTCCCCGTCACTGTGTAAGTGTACCCGGCGCCCGGTGAACACACGTGACAAGCCCCACTTGCCTGAGTACAGCTGGGCTGCTTCAGCCATAAATTCTCAGGATGGCTTGCTTCACATTTCTTTATAGAATTATCTCTACTCAGACCTATCTAAAGGATTATTTAATTTGTCTAAAAGATTATTTAATTAGGAATTCT